TTGCGGAGAAGAGGCGCAGGAGCGGTCTCACCATCGCACAGCATGTGTGTGGCACACACAAGAAGTGCCTCCGTTTTGCCGCCCCCACCCCCTGCCTACCCTTCCCCCTTTCTCAGTTGCATCACGGTTTAGCGTCCGCCAGGGAAGTCCAACCTGCTCTGCCCTGGTGCGATGCGGACCCCTGTTGAATCCACGAAGGCACAACCGCCCTCCAACCGATTTTTGAATTACAAGTTCAACGAAAAAGCCTGTGGACGGTGCCTCTTACTATGAATGCTACTCCTCTGCGCTGAATGTGCGGTCACAGTCACAGTCACACATTCACAGTCACATATTAATTCACAGTCACACATTCACAGTCACACATTAATTCACAGTCACACATTCACAGTCACATATTAATTCACAGTCACAGTGACAGCCACATTCAACACAGTCAACGGCAAGAGTTTCAGAGAACTTTCACACAAAATTCTGTGCCCTTTGCCGTTGGTTGGACACATATCGAACTGACGTGATTAACAACACTTCGAACTTAAGGAACCAATGCGGAGTCTGAGTGGAACAATGGAAAAACACAGGTGCTATCTAACACCCCTAATGCTGTTGTGCCCTTGTGGGGGCACTAAAAGGCAGAAATATAGGAATTATTAATAATCTCTAGAGGAAAATAGGACCCTTCAAAGGGCCAAAAGCACTACCACCTATGAAAGGGTTAGCATTTCACGCAATGTAACTATAAAAGTGGGAAGAGTCATTGCCCTGGTGGACCTCAGAGCTAAATCGGGATGAAACGACGATATAAACATATAACTCTGCTTACATAAGGGAAACGCAGCAAAACGTTGATGAAGTTGCTTTAAACTAAGTTTGCCGTGGTCTATACTTGATGGGAAAATCACTTACCCATTGTTCCGAATGATGTACAGATGTAGCAGACTCCGACTCAGGCACACACAGTACGTACTTCTCGAGCGATTGCTACTACCTGACTGAAGCCGCAGCGCTGTCTACAGGGTTGGGGGAGCTAACAGCTGCCTGACTCTATCTGTGGTACCAGTCCTTTTGTGGTACAATTGTCCTGGTACTACGCACTGGCTGAAATGCTAGGACCATACTCTATCGGAAAATATCTTAGTACCACCTACATCACCCCACTAACACTCTAGTACCAGGCCTGGAAAGCCCCAAAGCCCCAGCAGCTAACAGCTGCCTGACTCTATCTATGGTACCGGCCCCTTAACGGTACAATTGTCCTGGTACTACGCACTGGCTGAAATGCTAGGACCATACTCTATCGGAAAATATCTTAGTACCACCTGAAGCATCCCCCTAACACTCTAGTACCAGGCCTGGAAAGCCACAGGGGATGTGTGTATATTTTTTCCGGTATTAGGGTTTTTTTCTGAAAGCGTCCAAGCCCTTGGGCCTATCAACTACGTAGTACCGGGCTAAATCATGACAGAAAGGGCTAGTACCGAGGTTTGTACTG